ATCTATCTGATCATGAAAATGTGCAACAGCTCCTTGCCATGAAACAAGCTTTCGAAAGCCTTCCTGATGCCATCGGGCCTGAAAGCACCAAGTTCTTCCTAGAGTAAGCTCTTCTTATACACATGTATACTGTAATTCCATATATTTCACGTTTACCATAAGTCACAGATCACAATTCGACTGTTACTGTTTGCTTTTACGTTGCTGACCTTTTTCAATTTTTTTTGCAAAATTTTCTTTCATAGAAATTTATACTAAGTATTTGTCTCTAACTCACAATCCATATTTAGTGACTACATTCTCTACAAAGAATCTGTTCGTGAAGAACTAGAAACTGATCCGGATGCGGACTCACTTGAATCATTTTTGAGCTGGATGGAGTACTCATTTTGGAAAGGATTTTTGAAGTTGGGAAATTCCACCGAGTAAGTTTGCTATACGTTTTGAAAAGGTATTGAACAGTATAAATCAATTAAATTGCATTCAGAGAAGTTTAGACGTTGTTTTTAGCTTATCTTGCTCTCAACTTTCTATTACAATTTCTCTTCGAAAAGAGATATGCACTTTGTATGTGAAAAAAATATAATCAAAATCTTCGTACCCTCTCAGTACAACCTTACCATTTTTATTATTTTGCTGCATTAATGTTATTTTTATTTCAGTTGAGATGTATGATCCCTGTCTTTGCTAAAAATTTCAAAAAATATTGAACTAGTTTTGATTTTTTCTACTCTAGCAGATTACAAACAAGATTGCTGATCATTAGTCATAACTCTTATTTAATTGCTCTCGCATTCATTACATTAAAAGGCATGACATTAAAAAAGTTTATTACCATCGGAAAAGACATATTGCATATATCGTGTCAGACTTCTGTTGCGAGCTCCCACCTAAGTTCACGCTGAGAGCTCAGCCTCTCTTCCTATATTCTTGAAGAACGACCGAAAACGTCATTATTTTTTGAAATTATTATTTTCTTGTCTTCGATATTGATTTTTATTTCGACATTTGTATTGCCACAATTTTGATTGAAGTAGAGCTATTGAGATACGATTACCTTTGTCTTTCACCATGAAAATACTTCTGCTCTTTTTATACTCTTTTCATATGTCCGCTTTTTTTGGTTTTTGCATTTGGAATGAGAAAATTTGATGACAGTAACCTTATCTAGTCACAGAAAAACTATATAGAAGGAGCACCCTACTTTGATATTAAAATGCTAATGAGATCATGGAACTTTTCTTTGAAAAGTGTGTTAAGAATGTAGTCAGTAAAGCAACGTCATACCAATATAATATTAAGATTGCTTATCTCTCGTTATCTCTCGTCCAGTAATGCAGATAAGCTTAGAAAATCTGATAGAAAAAGTATGTTCAATAGAATTGTTAGTTATTTTAAATTTGTGGAATACCGAGTTTGGCCAATTTCTCATAAAAGAAAATATGAGGATCTACAAATGATCACGATCGCAAAGCTTTTCCCGGAGTCTCCTTGATGGTGAGACTGCAAACGTTCTTATGTCTGAACAAAGAAGCTCTGGCTAACGTTTGATTTCATGCAGTCTATATTTTGACGACACATATTTTTAAATATTTCAATTGTGTTAGGAGAGAAAATGCCTTTATGGAAGGCTTTTTGAATGTCTGTATTAGAATGATTGCTAAGAATTTTCCCTTGTTTAATATATCAAGCAGTTATTGCTCTTTCAGTGGTCCAACAGCTGAGAAGTTTATGTTCTTCACCGGGTATCATGGTCACCAGCTAATATCATGGACCGAAAAAGGACATCTTTTAAAATCACTACGAGATCAAGTTGATCGTTTTGGAAAGTACGTTACAACTTGATGTGATTTCTTATTGAGCAAGCAAATTGATATGAAGCTACTTTTAAACTTGATTAATTTAGGCAATTCAACGCTACAGTGTTTTCCGACGATGCATTCTATATCGATCTTCTTGAGGTGGGTTACGGCTCATTAGGGATGCAGCAGAGCAAAAGAGCGTTCACCTTATTATTAGGCGATTCCAACAATAACATGGCAATCGGGCTTGGCAACCTTTACCTGTGTTATTTTCGTCTGTGCTATGTTTATCAACCAATTTGCGACAGTTGTCTTCGTGTCGTCGGCAATTCTAGCCACATGTATCGGTATGTTAATTTTTGGAACAAGATTTCTATTGAAAATTTGCTTCCAACTTCAATTTTTACAAATCCGGAGGCGCTCTTTTATACTAAACAGCCCATATTTTCATATGAATTTAGGTGTGTTTGGCTACACATCGTTACTAG